CCTGCTGAAAAGTCCCACCATGCCCCTTCCTAATCCCAGTACTGTGCCCCCATGTTTGTAACCCCCTGTCAGTTCCCAGGCCCGGTGGCCAACTGTGTTCCCATGTAGGTAGAGGACAGGCTAAGCCTTCTATTCTGTGCAGATGCACCCTTAATCCCAGTACTGTGCCCCCATGTTTGTAACCCCCTGTCAGTTCCCAGGCCCGGTGGCCAACTGTGTTCCCATGTAGGTAGAGGACAGGCTAAGCCTTCTATTCTGTGCAGATGCACCCTGAGACCGTACCCAGGCCTCACCCCAAATCTGCAGGAATCTGTTCTAGGGATGTAGATCTGTGACTGTGTTCAGTGCTTGGTCTCTCTTCTGAAATTGAAGGCCAGCTGCAGTGGTAGCTTTGTAAGTTGGGCACATCATTGTGCCTAGAAACTGGGCAAAAACTTTGGCAGACTCATGTCACATACAGCAACAACCCCTTGTCTGACAGTCACAACTCACTCCCTTTTCTTCTGGGCTAGTGATTTTAAAGTGACAAGCTCTGTAGTCAGTTACCAATGCCATAAGCGCTCTCCTCTCTGAAATATTAACTTCCTGACTTCCTTTCTTCCAGGGGACTTCTATTCACGGTCTCTAGGGCTTTGGTGAGTTTTTAATGTAGAGGATGTCGTGCAGTGGTTTCCTGAGGTTGCTGGCATCGCCTTTGAGATGGAGTATGTATCTGTTTCTTTTCATTGCTTTGAGTCTGATTCATTCTGCAGTGTTGCTCTGAATTGCTTTTTGGTGCAAAAGGGCTTTTAGCAACTACACTGCTCCCCTGTTCTCAATAGAAGTATCAGGCTGGAAGGGTCATCTACCCTTTCTGCTTATGCTGAGGCAGGAATAACGCTACAGGGCTATGTCTACACTCGCGGCTTCTTGTGCAAGTAATATGCAAATGAGGCTAAGCGTGGAATATCGCTGAGCCTCATTTGCATACACTCGCGGCTTCTTGCGCGAGTAATATGCAAATGAGGCTGTGTGGAATATTGCTGAGCCTCATTTGCATACCTAATAAGCCACCATTTTTTTTCAGAAGAGGCTCTTGTGCAAGAGAAACCCTCTTGCGCAATGCCATTACACCTATTACTTTTCAGGAAGAACGGCATTGCGCAAGAGGGTTTTTCTTGCACAAGAAGGGGCAGTGTAGATGCCCTTTCTTGCGCAAGAGCCTCTTCTGAAAACAAATGGTGGCTCATTAGGTATGCAAATGAGGCTCAGCGATATTCCACGCTTAGCCTAAATTATAAATTAAAAAATTAATGGAGATTGCCTATCTCCTAGAACTGGAAGGGTCATCGAGTCCAGTCCCCTGCCTTCACAGCAGAACCAAGTACCATCCCTGACAAATTTTTGCCCCAAATGGCCTCTGCAAGGATTGAACTCACAACCCTGGGTTTAGCAGGCCAATACTCAAACCACTGAGCTATCCCTCCCTCCTAATTTGCATATTATTCGCACAAGAAGTCATGAGTGTAGACATAGCCCAGGTGTTTGGAGGATTTAAAGAACAGGTTAGACAATGCTGGGGTTACCATAACCTTGCTTTCTCGCTTGTTCTGGTATGTCACCATGCTTGTAGTTAGAAAATTCTTAATATTTAACCACAATCTCCCTTGCTGAAACAACCCATTCCTTCATATCTTCCCTTAGTGGAAATGAAGAACAGTTGATCAGTCCTCTTTATTATAACCTTGTACATATTTAAAGACTCAACAGAGAGTCCTTTGGCCTCTTACAACCCACTTTGTCAGATGCATTTATTTGAAGACTGTTATCCTGTTCTCCCTCAGTCTTCTCTTCTCTGGACTAAACATGCCCAGTTCTTGATAACAGGGACTGGCTTGCTGCCTTCCTAAACTGTGTCAGGGAAATCTTAGGGACTGATGCTGATTCAGGAACTAGTTGCTGAAAAACACTGTTCTAAATCTCTTGTTGTTTTAGTTGTTCCAGGAACAGCCAGTTGGGGAACTGGAAGAAATAATTCTGGGTTTGCACTGATTGATTAATTAGGCAGGGGTTTATGTCTTTCTCTGAAGCACTGTGGTGAGCCTGGATACCAGAGGCCTGTTTAGTGGGGCAGGAGGTGGGATAATGAATTCATAAGAAAGATATCTGATGTTAGATGGACCCAGAGCAGCATGAGACATAATCCGTAATGGATAGCACACTGGAGCTGAACTTGGGAGACCTGGATTCTATTTCTGGCTCTGTCCCAGGCCTGCAGAGTGATCTTGGGCAAGTTGCTGCCCTTCCCTGTGCCTCTGTTTCCCCATCTGTAAAATGGAGGTGATGATGCTTCCCTCTTTTGTAAAGCACCTTGAGATCTAAAGTGCTAGGGAAAAGCTAGGGATTATTCTAGATAGAGCGTAGTTCTGGTCTCCAATAGCAGTAGCTGGACCATTGGTACAGAAAGGAAAGCCAGTATGGAGTTGTTGGACTGTTCACAAGTGGTGATTAATGAAACTCCTCTTCCCTGTAGGTATCAATGCTTTTCCTCATGCCTTTGTACCAGGGAGATGGCCATTAACCCCATCTTTGGGCCAGCTGGAAACCCGCACCATGGCAACCCTCAACCAGATGCACCGTAAGGGCAAACCAAAGTTTCCCCCACCCAAACTTGGCCCCACCTTTGGCAACCCCCAGCTCAAGGGAGTGGTTTTGAAGACCATGATTCGCAAGCCCAAGAAGCCCAACTCTGCCAACAGAAAGTGTGCCCGGGTGCGGCTTAGCAATGGCAAGGAAGTGGTCTGCTTCATTCCCGGAGAAGGTCACAACTTGCAGGAACACAGTATTGTGTTGGTGGAAGGCGGAAGGACACAGGACTTGCCTGGGGTGAAGCTCAAAATCGTGCGTGGGAAATATGACTGTGCCCATGTACAGAAGAAGAAATAAGCACCGATCGCTGCTGTGTTTGTATCACTGCAGATATCCTGCAGAGACATTACTCCTTGCCCTGTACTGTTGTGACATCTTTACACACACATTACGCTCATTAAATTCTAACTCCTCTCCAAGAGACGGTGTGTTCTGAGCAAGGGCTCTGTGTTGTAATCTCAGTTCCTGGGCGGCATGAGGGGGTTTCTCGGGCTATGGGGCCTCTGAGAGAGGAGTGTAGATCAGGCTGTTATACATAGCGGAACTGTGCAAGAGTCCCAAGAGTCTCTGATTGGTGGTCTCCAGAGGAGTCCTGCTGTGTGGGAGCATGGGGGGCAGTTCTTTCTGAAGGAGGTATTGAGGGGGGAACATGGGAGGGCTCTGAGGAAGGGTCACATTGTGGGAGTCATGGGGATGGTGTTCCACCTGGGGGAGTCAGGGAGGTGTTGCTCAGGTGGGAGGAAGAGGGAGGAGACATGGGGGGTGCGATGTGGGGGGGTGCCTGGGGCAGTCCCTGCCCCCATGCCAGTGCCCCTGGGTGGAGGGGGGTGTTAGCTGTGGGGATGTAGGTAACACGTGGAGGCGGGGAGGAGCCCTCCCGTCCCCATGGTAACCAGGCAGCTCCCGCCTTAGTGACCAGCCTCTAGGGGTGGGGCGGGTTCTCTGCTCCGATTGGCCCTTCCCGCCTCGTGCCTGGGGCTCGCGGGGAAAGGAGGCGGGGCGAGCGCATCACATGACCGGCTAACATGGCGGCGCCCATGGCGTTGGGGCGGGCGCTGCGGCGGGTCCCGGCGTGGCGGGGGCGGTGGCAGAGCGGCGCGGGG